TATAGGTTATAATAATGCATCGTGATCGTGAGTCAGCCAACCCCACTGGGGCGACGCGGCTCTACGCTACAGTCCTTTCCCGAAACATTGTCTGAATGCGCTCCGTTTTCATGACCCCCTTAATACGCTCTGCATGTAACGAGAGCATGTCATGTAGTTGTAGCCTGGCCAGTACGATTTTTGCCGTCAGACCCGCGCTTGGGGCACCAATCTCATAAGGTTGGCACTGCTACTTGAAGCCTGCCACTGGCATTAATGGTGTTGTCCTGCGCTGGTCTTCTCTGCCAGGTGCCGTAGGAAACTGTCGTCGGGCTGTCCGCGGTGGTTCATCGCCTCGCTCTTGAACAGAGCTGGCGGTGGAGGCAAGTGTGGGACTGGCGGTACTGCCAGGTGGTGTGGGTGGGAGTGCGGATGCAGATGCAAGTGGGAAAATGGATGTGGGATGGGCCGAGGAGGCAAGGAACTTAGGGCGTTGAGGTTTAGAGGCGGCGTGGGACTGTTTGGCGGCATATGGGCTGTTGTGAGGTTGGTGATGCCTTGCGAAGGGTTGTTGAGAGCGATCTGCAAGGCTGGTGGAACACCCACTGGACTGGTGACCCGGAAGCACTTCTCCTTGTGAGCCTTCAGCATGTTGGAGAAGCGAAAACGCATGCCGCACACGTCACAGGGGTAAGGCTTTTCTCCTGTATGGGTCCTACGGTGACGTTTCATGTTTGGGCGGCTGGTGAAGCTCTTGCCACAGATTTCACAGATAAAAGGTTTCTCTCCTGCAAAAAAAAAATATTGAACATAAATTAAAAGACAATATTGAGATCCTTTGACAAAGCACAAAGAGCCAAACTTCCGTTATAGTAGGTGAATAATTATTTTCAGTAAGTAGTAAATACGTGTACACCTCGTCCTTGTGAAGGAACACGGAGGGCCAACCAGCACCCTGCAAAAGGAAATTTCTGTGCACCGCCATTCTTTACTTTGACTCCTGTGGCACTGCTGAGAGTGAAGTGGTAGTCCAATTAAAGAATGGCAGCGTGCACATACAGACACATGTAAGGTATGCTGATGTCTCCAAGAGCCTCTGGTCCTTGCATTTGTCTTTATAGTGTACCTCAAGACCAAAAAATAAACACACACACACACACACACACACACACACACACACACACACACACACACACACTTATTAAGACCACCTGACGTTTGCAGGCAAATTAGCTATAATTTTGCGCTGAAGTTGCTAGAGGGCCAGACCATTATAAATAGGAAAGCAGGTTGTTTACCACGACAGTAGAAGTGATTTTTTTTGGGTCTGAACGTGCAAATTGTGGCCGTCAGCGACTAGTCAATGTTAGGGCAGAATGGAGAGTGGAAAGACTGGTACAAGACAACAGAAGGGCAACAGTGCAGTGTCAGATTCCTCGCATCACCTTTCTACATCTCGTGGAGTCACAAGGCGGCCCAACGAAGTCATCTCGTGGAGTTATCTCGTGGCCCAACATGGGCTTTCCTGGAAAACAGCTGGGGACAACTCCCTCAGTGTATGTATGTAGATAGATAGATAGATAGGAGCTCTCTCTCTGGGCTGACAACACACAGCATTTCTGTGGACTTGACAGGCCCAGTTGTCTTTTGCTAAACTACTCAAACCCACTTCCTTTCCTATTCTCCAGAAGACCAACTGTTCTGTAGTCCAAAAATAAGAACTGGGAGGGCTAATAAGACTCCTTGGGATAAAGTAGTGTGCACAGGACAGCTCTTAATCGGACAGGATCATGTTTTTTTTGCTTAAAGAGCTACAACAAAATTCTATTCACTGTATATACGATTACTGAATATTGTGGGAGAGGAAAATCTCACCAGTGTGTGTTTTCATGTGTTCGTCAAAGTACTGCTTCATGTTGAAGTCCTTTCCGCACCACTGACACATGAACTGCTTGTGACCGATGTGGATGCTCATATGTGAACGTAGTTGATACTTGTACTGGAAACGCTCGTCACAGTTCTGGGGACAGAAACGCACACAGGATGTTTGGTCAGTCATAACATTACATTTTTTTCCCCTGCAAACACACCGCTGAGGAACAGCACAGATTTTTCTTCAAACAATTGTATCACTGAAAGTGACATTTCAGATATAGGGGAGCCCGGTGAGCCAAGTCCCCTAATGGCACCCCATCACTCCTGGGGAAATCAGCAGCGGGATCAACCCTGCCACACTGCATGTGTTCCCCTTGGAGACTCTTATGTAACCAAAAACCAGAGTTAGTACTCACGGTAACTATTTCCAGAAGTATTCCAGGACAGCTGGGCTCACATGGGCTGTCTTGGAAAACGACTGGGGAAAACCGGAGTTGGTACTCACTGGTAACTATTTCTAGTAGTCTTCCAGGACAGCCGGACTCACATGGGCTTTCCTGGAAAACAGCTGGGGACAACTGGAGTTACAACTCACCGGTAACTATTTCTAGTAGTCTTCCAGGACAGCCGGACTCACATGGGCTTTCCTGGAAAACAGCTGGGGACAACTGGAGTTACAACTCACCGGTAACTATTTCTAGTAGTCTTCCAGGACAGCCGGACTCACATGGGCTTTCCTGGAAAACAGCTGGGGACAACTGGAGTTACAACTCACCGGTAACTATTTCTAGTAGTCTTCCAGGACAGCCGGACTCACATGGGCTTTCCTGGAAAACAGCTGGGGACAACTGGAGTTACAACTCACCGGTAACTATTTCTAGTAGTCTTCCAGGACAGCCGGACTCACATGGGCTTTCCTGGAAAACAGCTGGGGACAACTGGAGTTACAACTCACCGGTAACTATTTCTAGTAGTCTTCCAGGACAGCCGGACTCACATGGGCTTTCCTGGAAAACAGCTGGGGACAACTGGAGTTACAACTCACCGGTAACTATTTCTAGTAGTCTTCCAGGACAGCCGGACTCACATGGGCTTTCCTGGAAAACAGCTGGGGACAACTGGAGTTACAACTCACCGGTAACTATTTCTAGTAGTCTTCCAGGACAGCCGGACTCACATGGGCTTTCCTGGAAAACAGCTGGGGACAACTGGAGTTACTACTCACCGGTAACTATTTCCAGTAGTCTTCCAGAACAGCCGGACTCATGGGCTATCCTGGAAGACGACTGGGGCTGAATGGCCGATGTGGTGAGCGATTGACTCTGTGATTTCACAGCAGAGGGGGAGTTGCTAAGCACAGCTACAAAATAGGACCCAGAAGATCGCAGTAAAACACTGTAGTAGCTGCTCAGGTATGACATATACGTACATTGGACCAAGGGAGACCAACACACCCACTGCCACAGTCTGTGTTCATCCTACCTGGCATATTCATCACTGACTACTGGAGCCAAAGCAAAGCCGTGCAAGCTAATATTCCCTGAAGTGTTCGGTTACACAGGGCTATGGATTCCCATATCACAGAGAGTGACATGCTCCTCCACACTCGGGAGTGTGGTGCTGGGTATCGTCCTTGGCTCCCATGAGTTAACAGAGTGCTATGTAATGCATATCTGTAGCTTTGCTTAAATAGGCAATGCACATGTTTGATCTAAATCTCCCCATACACATTACAGTCTGATTATATGTAGTGCAACAATCTGACGGGCAGTCTAGCTAGATCCTCATATTAGAAAGTTTTGGTATATCTAATGCTGATCATACAGAAACTGTAACATGTATGGTGAGCCTAAAGCACAAAACAAGACGGACATTACAGTTCACACACATTGATAAATGCCATCAAATTGCAGTCTTGTGTACATTTGTGATCAGTTAGCTCCTCAATGAGTCCATATGTCCTGATGATTTCCAGCAGTGGGATCATTATGTCCTAAATATAATGGGTCACCAGATGCCTGTGTTGTGTTTCCATCACTGATCATTAACATTGTAGCCAAGGTGAATGTATCCTGATAGGTGATTGTATTCATTCTTTGACTGGCCACCCAGCTACCATACTAAACAGAAATGTGTCAGATGACAACTCACCTCGCATCTGAATGGCTTCTCCCCCGAGTGTTGCAGAGAGTGCACCTTCAAAGACATACTCCTCTTAAATGACTTCCCGCACGTCTCGCAAGTAAAAGGCATGTCCTTCGTGTGAGCTGTATAACAAGAGATTACAACGTTACAGTCCTGTGCCATAAGCCATCAGGAAGACTGTAAATTGTTAAATCAGCTATCTGGGTTGAATACAGAGCCAACACCAGCAGCTCTACTTCAATATACATTTCATCAAATCAAATAATTCTGCTGAGCAAAAAGGGACACAATTTCCATCCACATATATCAGAGGTAATAAAAGGTAATTCAAAAAGAGGTCCAGTCAGTAAAATCTGCAGACATTTGAATCACGTGTGAGCTAGGGCTCAGATCCTGGGTATGTA